ACGAACTTGGTGTGTTTGGTGAGACGTCCGCGGCGGCGGCTGTGCCTCGGTTTGCTCACATTCTTAGTCACCTTGTGGCCCTTGTTGAGGCCCACGGCCATGGGATAGCGGAGGGCCATGGCTACTCTTTTTCAATGGTTGCTGTGGCGGAAGGACCACCACGTTCTTGTAGGCCACGGAGAGCAGGGTTCGCTTTTCACAGGAGAGGTCCTCACCCTTTTCCACTGCGTCCTTCATGAAGGCTGCCACATCCTCACAGCACTTGGCCTGCTCTGCCAGCTTGGCCTTCTGGATCAGACTGGCTCTTTCCATGACTCTAGGGACAGACGGTCAGGCGGCGGACTAACTGGCTGCCAGGGGACCGATGCCGGGTTCTGTCAAGTTTTGAACTGGGCTTTTTTTTGGTTTTTTTTTTTAGTCCTTTGTGCTTTTACAGAATGGAGCTCTCAACTCATCTTTCCATCTTTCCAATCCTTTTAAATTTTAATTTCCCCTTGTATTTTCCCCTTGGTTCCATCTTACTCATCTTTTGAACCTCTAGTACTTAATTTTGGTCTTTTTTCATCATCACTCTCATGGCTTTAGCTTCACTCCATGTGATTGTTTCCTTTTCCTCTCTCCACCCAATCTATTTATCTTATTTAAAAAATATTTTATTTATTTATGTGTGTGTGTGTGTGTGTGTGTGTGTGTGTGTGTGGCCAGCTCAGCCCACCAGGGGGCGGGGCTGGCTGATATGTGGTGCTGGGAGATCGAACCACGGTCCCTGTTCTTTGCCAAGCCTGTTCCAAGTAGGTGTCCTAGACCACTGAGCCATCTCATCAGCCCCTGAAATAGCAATTTAATAGTGCTATTTTCTGGTGAAATATTTCAAAAAGTATTAAAGTTATCAAATAATTAGTATGCTGATATAACTACTGCTATATAACTCCACTTATTTATTGAAGTTCTGCTCCTTCTATTTATCTATTTGTGTGTGTGTGTGTGTGTGTGTGTGTGGCCGGCTCAGCCCACCAGGGGGCGGGGCGGGCTGGCATGTGGTGCTGGGGGATTGGACTGCGGTCCCTGTGCTTTGCTAAGCTTGTTCTAAGTAGGTGCTTTAGACCACTGAGCCATCTCACCAGCCCTGAAGTTCTGCTCCTTCTAAATCACTGCCTATTGAATGATTTCAATGAACGATGTAGAGAAAGCTCTAGTCTATTTATTCATAAAAAGATTTCAGATGCTTTTTTTTTCCTTTCAAAGGGGTTTTACTCCAAATCTCTTCATGAGACTTTCTTGATTTGATGTCTCAATGTATCTCAGCTGCCTTCTGGTTCAGGAGACAAGATAGGCCTTTTGGGGTGAGGTAGTGGAGATATTTCTTTTCTTTCTTTCTTTTTCTTTTTCTTTTTTTTTTTTTTGTGAAACCTGGGATTGAACTCAGACCCTTGCACTTGCCAGGGAAGCACTTATCCCACTGAGCCATCTCCCCGGCCCCGGAGATATTTCTTAAAGTACAACTAAAGTCTTCATTCACTGGGGCAGATTTTCTCAGAATATGTCCCCAAATTACCTCTTTCTGAGTCATCTCAGTTGTTTTTCTCTTGACTGACTGGCTTAAACAACAAAAAGATATTTCTCACAACTGTGGAGGCTGGAAGTCTAAGTACAGTATTGGCAGCATCTCTGTCTGGTGAGCACACTCTTTGCGGCCTGCAGAAAGACATCTCATATATCCTCACATGGCAGAGACCTCAGATGTTTAATAAAATGTAGATTCCTTCAACAAAATCTAGCAGTTGGATGAAAGCCTCTATGTCTAAGAATAAGGAATCAGTACTATCTAAACTGGCCAAGGACATCTATACAGCCTGAAATTTGGGAACAATTAATCTAAGGAATCCCTCTTCCCATTAGTGCATTGGCCTTGGCTACAGAGCCAACCAACCACTTTTCATCCAACAATAAAATGAAAATTTGGTACCATGGGGGAGAAATGTCATAACTGTTTGAAGAGGTATTTATGTACACACACACACACACACACACACACACACACACACACTTTCCACAGTACCTGCAATTTATGTTGATTCAAGCAGAGGGAAGGCCTAGAAAGGCTACAAAACTTCTTTCAATTTCCTGGTCTACTGCAGTAAATTATCTCTAAAGCCCCTACTGCAGGGCAAACACGATATTTTGTGTTGCCAGGGATTATATAATGCTATCCTGGGATGAAAAGCATATGTTTAATTCGGTTGATTCTGGAATAATGTAGTTGACCTAGTGATTGCTGCAAATGAACATGTATGGTATGTGGAAAGGCAGTAATATGATGTCTTAGGATTCTGACCTTAGAAATTTCCTAAGGATTTGTTAAATATTCACATCAGGTCCAAAAGTTATAGGCAAACCATTGGAAAGGGAATGGGGAGCAGCATTTTATTTTATTTTATTTTTTGAGAAACAGGGGATTGAACTCAGAAACTTGTGCTTGCTAGGCAAGTGCCTATTCTACTGAGCTATCTCCCCAACACAGCAGCATTTAGACTAGATTCTTTATGGTAATATTGATTATCTTATTGAACAGTTTCCTCTACAAACATCTTCAGATATTAGGCAGATGAATTGAGATAAGATGTGTCTGAGTTACTTTTCTCTCCTTCCTGGGACAAAATACCTGACACCCAAAATTAAGGAAGGGAAGTTTAGTTAGCTTAGTTAGTGGAGGTTTCAATTTTTATACTGGGCTGGCTCCAAAGCAGAGTAGCACATGGCAGAGGGCAGCTAGTTCATGGTGGTGGAAAATAGCACTAACAGCAAGAGCCAAAAGGGAGAAGCAGTGGCTGCTGCAGCTAGCAAGCCTCTCTCCCTTCCTTATACTGTATTCATTCTATCTGCCCCAGGGTGCGTATGGCACTCACACCCATAATCCCTGCAGCATTCACACCCATAATGTGCGTGTGTGTGTGCATTTTTTTTTTTTTTTTTTAAGATTTTTTATTTTTGAGACAGGTCTCCCTATGCAGTTCAGGATGCTGGGATTACAGGTGTGCGCCACCATGCCTGGCACTCACACTTACAATCTCAGCATTTGATCATGAATTAATCACCAACTCTAGAAGCCTGATCCAATGATTGCATGAGGTTTTGAGGGGACAACTAGACTCAAACCATAACCAGATATAAACACTTTAGGAGCGCCACTTCTTTGCAGGAGCTTTTTAGGATGTCCTTAGTAGAGTGGCCACTTCCTTGTGATTTATCTAAAATTTTCTGTTTTAGTATTGAAAGTCTACATCCCAGCAACCCTCTAAACCTCAAGTAAGCTGGCTAGGTTCATCATGCTAGCGATTGGGAGAAAGGCAGGTGAGATGCTTAGAACAGGTTTTCTCTTTTTTTTTATATTTATTTATTTTTATTTATTACATTTATTTATTGTGTGTGTGTGTGTGGCCAGCTCAGCCCACCAGGGGGCGGGTCTGGCTGGCATGTGGTGCTGGGGGATCCCTGTGCTTTGCCAAGCTTGTTTCAAGTAGGTGCTTTAGACCACTGAGCCATCTCTCCAGCCCCAGGTTTTCTCTTTTTGTGTGTGTGAACGTTTTCCTAGTCTAATAATCCTCCTATTCCTGTCAAGTCATTCTAGCACTCCTAAACCTAGCTTTGCATTAAATTTAAAAATTAAATTAAGCATGCAGACACATAGGTGGGCACAGTGCCTATCCCTGTAATAATCCCAGCATTTGGAAAGCTAAAGGAGGAGGATCCCAAGTTCCAGCCCTCCCTGAGCAATTTAGCAACACCTTATCTTAAAATGTTTAAAAGTTTACAACGGGGGAGAGGGCTGACAATGCAGCTTAGTGCAAAGGCCTTGAATTTATTCCTCTGTACCGGGGTGTGTGGACAGGGATTGTAACAAAAGTAGAATTTGCAAATCCAACAACTGAACTATCAAACTGCAGAATGCTTTGGCTATCAAAGATCGGTCCTTACAGAAGAGAGCAGATAGGGAGAGGAACAGTCTCATTACTTCACCTCAAATTGAAGGAAGGGTCTAAAGTCATCTCACCCCCTAGCTGTCTGTGTATTCAGAGGGCTCTGCCTTTCAGGTGTGCGCCCTTGGGGCATCTTGTGCCTGAGTCTCCCGTTATGGAAAGAAGGGGTAAAAGAAAAAGTGAAGTCAACAAAATGCAAGACCTGCCCTGGCCAGGTGTTCTATTCCGTTCCAACAAGGAGGCCTTCCAGCGTGGGCGGCTCAGTTTTTGGCTAAGGATTTTCAGGCGCCGCCCCCGTACGGAGGTGGGGGAGGAGGCTGAGTTAACCCTAGAAACCGAAAGGCAGATGGTGAGGGCTGGCCTGGCACGTCGGCGCTTCGGCTAAAGTACAAACGTAATCAGCGTGAAGATTTGCATGGGGTGTTGGGGTAAATCAGAATCAAACCAGCGCCTGGGAACAATTCCTCTGCACCTTCGTGTTGGCGCCCCTATTTGTCGGGTTGCGCCCGGCCAGCAGGGCGGGCAGGGACTCTACGAGACCGTTCCCACTACTGAGGCACGGGCGTTGGGCTACAGCCTCAGCCCAGTACGTAGCAGGCACCGTAACAGACCGCGCGAACCGCTGGCCCCCTGGCTCGCAGAACCCCACTTCCCGCCCAGCCGCCCGGCTCGCGCATGCGCGACGTGCGGGACACCCCCCCCCCGCGCGCGCTCGCGCCGGAAGCGTTCTGTCGCCGCTGGCGTGTGCTTCCTGTGCGGGGCTGCCCGGGGTTCCTGCCGCTGCTGTGTCTGTCCCGGGGTGAGTAGCGGGTTCCTGCAAGACCTGGCCAGACGCTTGCAGGATTCCTCGGAGCGCCCTCAGGGGCCGGCTCCGACCCGGGAAGCCCGGCGCTGGGAAAGGTCACCTGGCCCTCCGCCGGCGCCCCGCCTCGGTGCCGCCCCCCGGCGCCCCGCGCCCGCCGTAGCGAGCGGATTAACCTCCAAGGGCGTTCTGCCGCTCGCCGGGGCTGCCGGCCCGGCCTGGGCCCGAGGTCGGGCTTCGCGCGGACCCCAAGACTTGTGCCCTTCCGAGGGAGCTTCGGTAGGCAGCCTGGGCTCCGCGGAGGCGTCTGATGTCATCGTTCGGGCGACCCCGGGACCAGGCGGCCGGAAGGAGCCGGGTGCGATTGTTGGACAGGAGCTGCTTGCTGTGCCGCTCTCGGTGCAAAAGCAGGGCTTGTTTCTTTCTGGCTGGGCCAGCTTTCTTACGATGGTGATGGTGATAATAACCTTGACCTCTGTGTGAAGGTTGGCAGGCCTCGTTGTCACAGGCAGCGTGCCGAAGGCCCTGGTGCCTGTTGACCTGGAGCTTAGAGCGAGAGTCTAAAACACTGCATGGATTTAGGTGACACCAGTATGTGTGTGCTTGTTCTCAGCTCGGCTCGTTGCATGAAGTAATGCGATTTCAGGTTTCCACCCCGACATGGAGAGTTCTTCCAGGGCAGCTACCTAGTGTTCCTGTTTGCCCAACAGATAACTGAGTTAACAGTGCTTGTGATCCTTAATGATCCGTGGCACTATATGTACATATTTGTAGATACGTTTATTGAAGCTCGTGTTTAACACAAGATTGAAATACGTTCCCTTTCGTGTGCACTTGCAGCTTTTGTACATTCCGCTGTAATGAACTAAAAAGGCTTTCCGTTGCTGGTGCATAAATGCTATAGAGATGATGGGTGAGTATAGGTCTCACAGATGGTGCAGATAGCGTTTATAGTTAAAGGAAGAAGTTTCAGGAGTCTGAAGACATTTAAAGTAATGGGCTGTTGTTTTTTAAGTGACATTAGGCCGCGGTGGTGCCTTAGAGCTGATGTACACCCAGCTCTGAGGAGGCTGAGACAGGTGGATTCTAAGTTTGAACCCAGGATGGACTATAGAGGGAGAACCTGTCTCCAGGAAAAAAGAAAAAGCAATGTTAGTAATCCGAAATCTGTATCGTAGCAAAGTTAATTGAAGAAGAGGAAAATCCATAAATGAATTTTGTGTGGGTTTTTTTTTTTTTTTTGCAGAACCGAGGATTGAACTCAGGCCCTTGCGCTTGCCAGGGAAGCGCTTATTCTACTGAGCCATCTCTCCAGCCCCAATTTTGTGTACTTTTTTGTGTGTATTTTTTATAGGCCTAAAAATGGTTAACTATCTGAATGACTTTGGAATAGGGTTTTTTGTTTTTTTTTTGCTCCGAATGCCCTCAGGGGTGGTTTGGCTGGCTGGAGTGTTGTGGGGATCGAACTACAGCAACCTGAGGCTGCCAGCTTTGTGGAAGCAGCCACTTAAAGAACTGAGCTAAGGGGCAGGCCCCCTGGATGACTTTGGGATGTTTTTTGGCAGCAGCCTTAATTTGTTCATGCAGTTTAGTGAACATCCAGTAGATGGCAGTTTTATGTCTACGAATAGTGTGCTACCAACTTAAATAAAACCGAATTTTTGGAATGTCACTACTTCTGACAAGATTTCGCTAATCCTTACCTTGCTGATTTATTTTCACCTACCGAATAGTACCCCCACATAATGATACCACCCGTTGCAATGGCATGTTTAACTTTACTGTTAAAATAAAAGGGGGTTGGGAACATGGCTTAGTAGAATAAGCACTTCCCTGACAAACACAAGAGCCTGAGTTCAATCCCTGTTCCACCAATAAAATAATAAATATAAATAAAAAATAAATAAAGACAAGTTTTGAATAGTCTTTGTTTTGTGTGTGATAGCTATAAAAATGGATAGATAAATAGAATATATACTCAGTAATGATTAAAGTTAAGCTCTTGGGGGGCGGGAGAGATGGCTCAGTAGACTAAGTGCTTCCCTGGCAAGCGCAAGGGCCTAAATTCAATCCCCGGTTCCGAAAAAAAAAAAAAAATTGTAAGATATTTAGTAGGACTAAATGACTAGTGGAGCATTAATGTGATCTGAGAGGCTTCATGGAACAGATTAAGTTCAGTTTGAAATTTGTATAGAATTTGACTAAATTCAGGTGAATGAGGGGAAGTGGCAAGAGCAAATACAAGGTTGAAGGGGAAAAAAAAAATCCATGTGACATATTTAGATGCTAGTGACTGTTGAGAGTTCCTTTTGAGAAATGATGAGAAAGCGCTGAAAAGTGACTCTTATGAGCAGGATTAGGGTAGTTCTACATATTTGAGAATTCTGTGAAGGGAAAGCTATGATGGAGGAATATGTGCTCTTAGCCCCAGGGATATAGCTCAGTGGTACAGCACCTGCCTGGCTAGTGCAAAGTTCTGAGTTCAATTGCCAGTACTAAAATAAATAAATAAATAAATAAATAAATGAATTTATTCTACTACTGGTAATTAAATGCATTTGTTTACTTAATATTTAAAAATCCATTTCTCCTTAAAATGAAGCACATTTTTTTTAAACAGTACTACTTCTTAAAAAAAATTTTATTTATTTATTTATGTGTGTGTGTGTGTGTGTGTGTGTGTGGCCAGCTCAGCCCACCAGGGGGCGGGGCTGGCTGGCTTGTTGTGCTGGGGGATTGAACTGTGGTCCCTCTGCTTTGCTACAGCTTGTTCTAGGTAGGTGCTTTAGACCACTGAGCCACCTCACCATCCCGAAGCACATTTCTTTTAAAGGTAGGTAATTACTGAATCTGATTATGAAGTTAGTTTTTCTTGCTTAGCTTAAGTGACTATCAGTCTTCCAATTTTAATGGATATAGATGTTACCTATGACAATTTCTCTTGTTGTTTAAGATTAACAATCAAGATGGTTCATGCTGAAGCCTTTTCTCGGCCCTTAAGTCGGAATGAAGTTGTTGGTTTAATTTTCCGTTTGACAATATTTGGTGCAGTTACATACTTTACTATCAAATGGATGGTAGATGCAATTGATCCAACCAGAAAGCAGAAAGTAGAGGCTCAGAAACAGGTAAGATTTAAAATTTTTTTTTGTTTTTTAAATATCATACCATGTCTTTTAAATTAAAATGTTTGAAGATCCTTTCTCTTAATACCAGTGAATATTTTTCCCCTAAATTAAGAGTATGGTAAAATTATGAATTATTGAGTTCTGTAAAGCTCACATGAAAATGCACTGGGACACACTATTTAATATCATTTTTTAAAAAAACATATTAGTTTATTAAGTCAGTTTCTTTCTTTTTTTTTTTTTTTTTTTTTTTTGGCAGAACCGGGGATTGAACTCAGGCCCTTGTGCCTAGTGAGCCATCTCCCTGGCCCCTATTAAGTCAGTTTCTACTGTATAAGCAATTTCAGGAGAAAAATGAATACAAATATTATGTTGTGAATATTCTCATTAAGATATTTTTTCAGCTTATAAATGAAGAAAGGTAGGTAAAATTTTTCAGTAGACTACACAAAAAATAATTTAAAAAAAATTTATTTATTTGTGTGTGTGTGTGTGTGTGTGTGTGTGTGTAGCCAGCTCAGCCCACCAGGGGGAGGGGCTGGCTGGCATGTGGTGCTGGGGGATTGAACCGTGGTCCCTGTGCTTTGCTAAGCTTGTTCTAAGTAGGTGCTTTAGATCACTGAGTCATCTCGCCAGCCCCCCAAAAATAATTTTTAATGTGTCTATGGAAGTCAGGTGGGAGGCTGGGCTCCCCGGAGCCAGAGTGGCAGAAGGGCCAGAACTCCAAGGCCCCAGTGGCCCCAGCAGACAGGAAGTGTCAGCTGTCGCCCCAGTCCAAGAGCTCCAGTAAGGTGACCAGTGTTCCTCGCAAAGCCGCGGACAGTGCAACCGCAGGCACCACGGCCGGGAAGGTCAGCACACTGTCACGGCGAGAGGAGCTCCTAGAGCAACTCAAGGCTGTGGAGGACGCCCTTGCTCGCAAGCGAGCCAAGATCCCTGGGAAGGTGTAGCAGAGACTCTTGTGCATTTTTATAATAGGATAAGCACAGCCATTTCGGATTTTGCAGTTAATGTCTCATTTTGGCTGTGATTCTTTTTAAAAATTAAAAATGAAAAACAAAAGTTTCTCAGCTGGAAAAGAAGCGACACAGGAAATGAAGATGATGCTGAACCCCAGCTTCCTGAGACTGAACCGGTGCTCCCAGAGGCAGAGTCCTGCCAGGCAGTGGGGAGGGTGGCCGCACACCCAGCGCCAGTCGGGCCACCACCTCTGTCGTCTGGCGACCACAGAGGCCACCTTCCAGCTGCTGGGCAGCATCTACACCACATTCTCAACTACAATCTGATTGGGAACTTCTTCCTTTTATTTGAAGCATCAAATTGTTTTAGTTAATTTAAAAAGGAAAAGGATACAGAAAAGGAAAGAAAAAAAAAAAAAAAAAGGCCAAGGGTATTGTGGGGCATCTAATGTGGAGGAGGGTCTTTTTTTTTTGACGGATCTCTTAAAATAAAATATTTTGATAAGCAAAAAATAATAATAATGGTGTTTACATATTGCTTTGTCTAATACTTAAAATTTGTATAATGCTAAGTTGTCAATCTTTTTTTTTTTTTTTTTTGCGGAACCGAGGATTGAACTCAGGCCCTTAGCACTTGCCAGGCAAATGCATACTCTACTGAGGCATCTCCCTGGCCCTCTAAGTTGTCAATCTTAACAAACAATAAAATCTAAGGAGTTGTTTTAAAAAGTTACTGTTTACTTATTTATTTATATTTATTTATTTATTTTTGCAGAACCGGGGATTGAACTCAGGCCCCTGTGCTTGCCAGGGAAGCCCTTATTCCACTGAGCCATCTCCCCGGCCCAAAGTTATTGTTTATTAATGTTATATTTTTTATTTTTCGTCTGCTACCTCATATGGTCATTTCTTTATTATGAGGACATATTTGTTTGAGTTCTGTTCATCAAATATTAAAATCTTTGAAGGAGTCTTTTACCATTTTTTGCTATTTTATGACAAAGTGTTCATACTCATGGATGTTTAGATTTGTTCTGTGAGTTGTGACTGATTCATTGAGCATTTATGCTTGATGTTAAGGAAAAAAGTTGAATAACTCTTATTTTGCTAGCATGGTGGTGCATACCTGTAATCTCATTACTTAGGAGGCTTAGGCAGGCGGAACATTGAGGTTTTTTTTTTTTTTTTTTTTTTTTTTTGGCGGAACCAGGAATTGAACTCAGGCCCTTGCACTTGCCAGGCAAGCACTTATTCTACCAAGCTATCTCCCCGGCCCAGAACATTGAGTTTGATGCTATCCTGGGCTATGAGTTCAAAGTCAACCTACTGCACTACATAGTAAGACTGTCTCAAGAAAAAAAAAAATCTTTTTTTTTTTTTTTTTTCAAAATGCTATAGAAAAGTGGGAAATAGGTAAATAAGTAGCTTCTTTACAGTGTTATGTAGAGTTCTTAAGTTAGTTAAAAACTGAAAAACCACAATTTTTTAAGGTCTGTATTTAATTTATTTTTGAAAAACCACAATTTGATTAACACTATATTAAGTATCCGAAAAGTAATTGGGATTTTGATGAATTTATTCCTTGAATTTGTCTATAAAGTTGACTAAACATTGATTATATCATCAGCCTATTTATAATACTGTGGGGAATCTGACCAGAATAGGTTATTTTAAAACCTTACTTGATGATGTACCTAAATATACCTTTTTCCCCACCTGAATAAAAAAAGTCAGTTTAAGTTGCAGTTTAGGATTTTGTTATCAGGAATATGACTTGTTGTTAATTAATTTATTTATGAGACAAACTCTTAGCAGTGCAGTTCAGGCCGGCCTTGAACTTACTGTGTAGCCTAGGTTGGTCCTGAGCTCACAGCGATCCTCTTTCCTCACCATCTTGATTGCTGAGATTGCAGGCGTGTGCCACCATATTCAGCAAGGGTGTAACTTTGTGTGTGTGTGTGTGTGTGTGTGTGTGTGAGAGAGAGAGAGAGAGAGAGAGAGAGAGAGAGAGAGAGAGAGGGGGATTCACTATGCTGTTCATCTGGCTTTGAACTCACTTTGTAGCCCAGACTGGTCTCAAACTCTCAACAGTCCTCCCACTTCAGCCTTCTGAATGCTGGGATTACAGTCATGTACCACCATATCCGGCATGGGTATAACCTTTTTTTTTTTTTAATGTGTTTGGTACAGGGGCTCACTACACAGCTTGGACTCATAGTGATCCTCCTGTCAGCCTCCCCAGTGCTGGGATTATAGGCGTGCACCACCTCACCCAGTCTCAGTCAAGGGCTCAGTGTACCCAGGGTGGGGCCAGTGTGGCATGTGGTGCCAGGGACTGAACCTGAGGCCCTATGTTTGCCTAATCAAGACTTAGTCCGCTGAGCTAACTTGCCAGTCTGGGTATGACCTTTCAACAGAGATTTTTATTAGTTTTTTCCTTGGCTTCTAGGATCTGTTAGAATACATATATAAGATGTATAGAAAGCCAAATATAGATATTGAGTGCTACATGAAGAATTTTTTTTGGCCGCTCAGGATGCCTTCAGGGCAGGTCTGGTTTGGCTTGAGGATGAGGGGATTGAACCACAGCATCCTGAGCCTGACTGCTTTGTTTTAGCAGGCACTTAAACACCTGAGCTAATGGGCAGGCCCCCTGAGTGCTACATGAATGGATCGTCATTAAGCTTTTATTGAAAACTGTGTATAGTATTATTCTAAATGACAGATGTATGGTGTCAAGTACTGTGTCTGACCTTGTGATATCCATGTTAGGGGAAAAGACGGAACTTTCTTTATTTTTTTTTTTTTTTTTTTTTTTTTTTTTGCAGAACTGGGGATTGAACTCAGGCCCTTGCGCTTGCCAGGCAAGTGCTTATTCTATTGAGCTATCTCCTGGCCCCAAAACTTACTTATGATGTAGATTGTGGAAGTCATCAGCATATAGCAGTTACTTAGTGACAAACCATGACTTTTAGAGAAGTACTTAGCAGTGACTGAGACTGTTGAGTATGTCTTCCTGAAAGATTTTGCCTTCAAAGTCAGACAAGGACAATGATAAGTGGGAAGAATATGAACAGAATCCTAGGGTAAGGATAACAAGACCTATTAAAGAATAGTAAATTGTTTACTCATGTTAGAGAGGAGAGTTTTTATGTAATTGACTCTGTAGTAGAACCTATGTGAAAGTTAAGGACCTCATGATAAAGGATCCTGAGTAAGTTAGGAAATACAGCTCTAATATTTCCTCAGTATCATTTTTTACTAGGTAGACTTAAGTCTGATGCAGAATACTGCAGCATTTTTGAAGCAAATGAGAAATACACTTTTATTTTTAATGTGATCGTTTCATAGTAGCTTACTAGTGTTTAAAACATTCAGAATAATAAAAAAAAAATGTCCTAGAATTTTACTTGGCCAAGGATTATAGGTTCTCTGGATTCCCTTCCTCTTTTCCTTCCTACACCCCAGCCAACTCCTGAATATGCTGTTGGCCAGTTAAAGAATTTTATGTAGACAGTGGCAAGCCATTAAATATGCTTGAGAAGTTGGGTAATACAGAAAACCACATCAGGATAATTTACCTTACAGTAGTATGTAAGAGGTCAAGAGAGCCAAGAAGCAAGATATAGAATCTCATGGTCTGGCAAAAACTAGAAAAAGAGCAACAAAAGGAATGAAATAATTACAGTTGACTCAAGAATGAATGCAGGATGGGGCTGGAGAGATGGCTCAGTGGTCTAAAGCACCTACTTAGAATAAGCTTGGCAAAGCACAGGGACCATGGTTCGATCCCCCAGCACCATATGCCAGCCAGCCCCGCCCCCTGGTGGGCCGAGCTGGCGCCACACACACACACACACACACACACACACACACAATAAATAAATGTAAAAAAAATAAAGAATGAATGCAGGAATATAGGATGGACAATGTGGGAAAAGAAAAAGAACGTTACATAAATGAATCAAAGATTTATGTAGGTTCCTCAAAGATTCACAACATCTTTTATAATGATTAAATTGATATGGCAGGTTTACAGGA